GAAGGGACCCCTATGTACTGAACCCGGCCCTTGCTGCTATCAACTTGGCCTGGCAGAAGGGTTACACACACATACAGTCGTTTTTGTCTGGTGAAAAAAATTTCCCTGGAACCTAACCCCCTCATTTACATTAATTCTTATGGGGAAATTGGATTTGCTTAACATCGTTTCGCTTAAAGTCGCATTTTTCAGGAACATAACTACAACGTTAAGTGAGGAGTTACTGTAATGGATTTTTTGGTGCAGGGACTGAAAAGCAAAAATAAATCCAATTTGATTTCAACCAAAACTATTTTTTCATAACTCTCTTGTAGAATCGTGAAACTCAAAAAACAAAAAATGAACTGAATTGACCACATTTGATTTCTTACTTCCTGTTCATTTGGTCAACTCTATAATTTTTTTTTTCATTTTGATTTGGCTGTTTTGGGGTGTTTTTACTTCCTTTTCTGTGTGTGTGTGGGTTTTTTTTCTTAATTAGCCAATTCTGATTTTGATATGAGAAGACAAAATTATACATTTTGGAATGGTCAAAAGGAAATATGTTCTCTTTTTCTAAATTACTTTGTCACTTTTTTCTCAGCCAAAACTGTCCCAAATTCGCCAAAAGTTTCAGAGCATCAAATATGCATTTTTGGCAAAAAACGATTCTGTTGAGAAAATTTCACCTAGCTCTAGTTTATGAAGGCTTACAATGAAAATGGATAAGGCAGTCAAAGTGTGGGAGAAAAGACAGAGTATCATCCTTGTTGTATATTTGGGAAATGCCTTCATTCACACAGGAAATCTGTGTAGCTGTGTTTAGTGTTTGAAGAAGGGCTACAGCCAGGTCCGTGCATTTCAGCATATCCCTGCAGAGTTTTAAGGCAAGTCTGTAGTAATTTTTAGTTAATTGAGCATTCAGTTTGAAAAACAGGTCCTATACTAGGAGTATGTAGCTTTCTGTCATCTGCCTATGGCTAGGAGGCATTGTCCATAAGGGTGACTAACATATTTTATGTACCATAAGGTTGCCAAATTTCTAATGGCACAAAACCGAACACCCCTGCCCCACCCCTTCTCCAAGGCCCCGCTCACTTCACCCCCCCCCCTTCCTCCGTCACTCACTCTCCTCCAACCTCACTCACTTTCACCGGGCTGGGACAGGGGGTTAGGATGTGGAGGGGGGGGGAGGGAAGGGGAAGGGCTTTAGCTAGGGGCGTGGGCTCTGGTGTGGGTCTGGGGATGGAGGTTTGGGGTGCAGGAGGGGTCTCAGGGCTGGGGCAGGGAGTTGGGGTGTGGGAGGGAGTTTGGTGTGTGGGGTCCCAGCGGCACTTACCGTGGCTCCCAGGAAGCAGCCACCAGGACCCTGCGTCCTCTAGGCGTGTGGGCAGCCAGGAAGGCACTGTCTGCTGCCCTCCCACCCATAGGCGCCACCCCTGCAGCTCCCATTGGTCGCAGTTCTCAGTGAATGGGAGCTGCAGAGCTGGCACTTGGGGCCAGGGCAGCACATGGAGCCTCCCTGGCCACATGTGCACCTAGGGGCCACAGGGATCTAGCGGACGCTTCTGAGAGCCATGCAGAGCCGGGGCAGGTAAGGAGCCTGCCTTAGTCCCGGCCCCTGATGCACCACCACCTGGACTTTTAACAGCTTGGACAGCAGTGCAGACTGGATCTGCCAAGGTCCCTTTTCAACCATGCATTTCAGTCGAAAACTGCGGATTGCAGTGGAGCCTAAAAATGGAACTCAGGAACCTCAGTTTGGGGCTGAGATGCCTATGTAGCTTTATGGATCTGGGCCTAAGGCCCTGTCTACACTAGGAAAAAATTGGACCCCTAATATTCCACCAGTGCACCTCCAGTGGTAATATCAGTGGTAGGATCTGTAATAGAGAGGGTCCAGCTGTTTCCCTGGATATCATCTAACCCTACCACATGATGGTAAAATGTCTGCACCATTCCTAAACTGGAGCTTCTATAACAGCTTTCATTGCTGGAGCTGCTCTGGTGGAGAATTATAAGTTTGAATTGTAGCCTAGGGGAAAACTGCACTAAAGCTGTTGTGACACTGAACAGAAGCTGTTCTCTTGCGGGAGGCAAAGTTCCTACACTCATGAAAAGGACCTAGAGCACTGACAGAGGATGGAGATAGTGCCACAGCCCTTCGCTTCAAAGGGATCTTTCTAAAAGATGTACTATAGCTCAGACAGAACGTATGGGCGTTGTGCCAAAATGAATGTGAAATCCTATGGCCTGTGTTGTGCAGGAGTCAGACTAGATAGTCACAATGAGCTCCAGTTTCCTTAAAATCTAGGAATCTATGGAGGAGCAGGAAGAGGCATTTATAGACACAGCAGACACATGAAAATATGCTTTACTTCAGCACAACCCTGTGTAATGTAGAACTAAACAAGCTGAATTTTAGTTCCAGTGACTGTCTAATATATTGTAAATGCCAATGGAAATAGTTTAGTGGCTTCCTTCCCCTCTTGCTGCCTCACTTCCCCATCTCCAAAAAGGGGAGAAAAGTATTTCCTATCTCTCACCTTTTGTCTGTTCTATTTGAACTGTACATTCTTCTGGGCAGGGTTTGGCATATGGAACCCTAGGTGCTATCATCATGAAACTAGTAACGTGGTTGGCCCCCGCCTCCGAAATAATTTGTATTTGCCAGACTGTGTCAAAGGAAGACAAGGTGAAGAGGTAATATCTTCTACTGGACCAACTTCTGCTGGTGACAGAAAGAACACTGTGTTCTGCCATGCTGGAGCTGGTCTGAACAGCAGGTAAAGCTGTTGCAGAGGTTTCTGTTTAACTGGAATTTTAAATCTTTATTTCATAAAAATCTTAATGGCAAATTTTAAGCACCTTTTGAACATTCCATGCTGGCTTGGAGAACAGCAGATTGATACAGGGAGAATAAGGAGAGCTGAAAATCACTCCTTTTTGTTTTTCATTGGGTTGTCTCACCTTTGGTCAAACCCCTTTGCAAGGAATCTGAAATGCTCAGGGATCGATGGTGGGCTCCACTTATTGCTCCTCATGTGCCACTTTCAACAATGTCAGTTACACATTGATAGTGGTTGCTACAAGCTTGTATCACCTCTGCTAATTGCTCTTTGTGTTCATACTTCACTACTCTTCTTATTGACTAAGGCCATGGGAACAATCCACTCTAAGGTGCTGCACACATACTACATTTTAAAATAAATATAGAGAGGTTATTCAAGCTCACTGCAGGCTCAGTTAGAAATAGAAATCCTGACCTCCTTAAAGTTAGTGGGCATTTTGCCATTGACATCACTTGGGCCAGGATTTCACCCCGGTCTCTAATGTGGCAGCTCAGGTCAAATCTTTCAGATTGATTGTTCTAGTTGTGGTTATCCAGTGTCTACGCTTTTAACTACACTCCTCTCCCAGAGGCAGGTTGTAACCTTGTTGCAATAAGGTCAGACACAAAGCAAGTATTTAATGCAACAAAGAATCTTACACAGTAATCATTTAATAAAATGAAGCCTTTTTCAGAAATAATGAAGACATCTATAGTATCTTGGGAATTAAATAGAACAATAACTGGGCATCTGGTGAAAACAACGTCATCTGTCTAAAAAGAAGGTGTATGCTGGGTAAGCTTTTACATAATTCAAGGAAGAAAATTAGAACAGTAGATTGTCTCTCAGGAGTTTTAAATCCAATTCCCACCTCTGCCATAGATTTCTTCTGTGACCTTGGGAGAGTCATTTAATCACCCAGCTCCACAAATCTACTTAGACTCTTAACCTCCGCTGAAATCAAGGGATGTTACGGGCCTAATTTTCTATGTGGATCCACTTTACTCTGTACTGATTAGGTGTAAGCTGGTGCACGGTGTCCAGTTCTGGGTGCCACATTTCAGGAAAGATATGGACAAAATTGAATAAAGTCCAGAAAAGAGCAACAAAATGATGATCTGGAATACATGACCTATGAAGGAAGATTGGAAAAAAAATGGGTTTGTTTAATCTGGAGAAGAGAAGACTGAGCAGGGAAATGATAACTGTTTTCAAGGATGTTACAAGGAAGAGAGTGAAAAATTGTTCTCCTTAACCTCTGAGGATAGGACAAGAAGCAATGGGCTTAAATTGCAGCAAGGGAGGTTTAGGGTGGAAATTAGGAAAAACTAATTTACTGTCAGGGTAGCTAAGCATGGGAATAGTTTACCTAGGGAGGTTATGGAATCTCTGTTATTGGAGGTTTTCAAGAACAGGTTAAAGAAACACCTGTCAGGAATGGTCTAGTTCAGGGGTCAGCAAGCTTCGGCACGTGACCCATCATAGTAGTTCGCTAGCAGGCTGCAAGACATTTTGTTTACGTTGACTGTCCACAGGCACAGCCTCTCGCAGCTGCCAGTGGTTGGGGTTCACGTCCCGCAATTCCCATTTGCCAACCTCTGGTCTAGTTATTCCTTAGTCCTGCCTTGAGTACAGGGTACAGGAGTAGACGAGCTATTGAGGTCACTTCCAGTTGTACACGTCTATGACTCTATGATCTGGGCCAAAGTGCCTTAGTTCCCCATGTGTTAGAATAGTATTTTTCCTGTCCAGTTAATTAATATTGACATTTACTCACAATGTACACATAAGTCATCTTTGGGCACGGCTGGTCAGAGGAACCAAAATGGTTCCCACTAATGCAGCTGCACCAAGGGGCAGGAAATAACCTTTCATTGCATAAGAGTTTCTACTTGAAAATCTTAATACAAAAGTTGAAAGTAAGCAAAAAAAGAGGTGTTAATGAGTCATTTCTTAATACAGAAAAGATAGTCACAGCCATTTTATCGTGCATCAATTATTATAATCTGTTTAGCTAAACATCGTCTATCCTTGGACACCAGGAGCTACAGGAGGTTACAATACAAACCTATCCCTAATACAGCCAGACGTCAATTGACACAGGATTGCCGAATGCTATGGTTTCTGTGCAATGCTTTTATGATTATTTACATTAAAATATCACAAAGTACAAGAAAATGCATCATTCTACAAGGGACGGTGTCTAATGTTCTGGGTTATTCTAGGGAGCCAGCAAGGTTGCATTCTTCTTGCAGATCCATCTGTGCGACAACGGGCATTTCTCAGGGTGTAACTTCTCCTTGTTGAAAGCAGAACAGTTTTTGCCATCTCCAATTCCATTTACCATCACCCTAAAGAGAAAACAAAAGCTGCTCACTGAGAGGTTAGCTCAGAATTTGGTAATGAATGAAAAGACAGGAACAGAGTTTGGGAGGAGGGATCCAGGGTTTTTTACTTTTGTGTGTGTGTTTTTTTTCTTATGCGGCTAGACTGGCATATGCAGGCTCATTGCAATCCATTTGATTGGACAGATGGGATTTGCACAAGGATTCACAGAGAGCAGACACTGGTAGGAGGAATTCAGAGGTCCTCATTTCCATGAACTTTATCAGCAAGAGGAGGAAAACCCTTCCACAAAGGAGAAATGGTGAGTCTTAATAGTGAGGAGGTGGGGAGGAGTTTTCAGCTACATGAATCCAAATGTTTGGTCTGCATGACAGACCAGAGAGTCAACCCAAGTGGTCCCACTCTCCAATAACCTCTGGTTCATACATGTTGGAAGTTTGCAGGTGGGTTTGAGCCATAACCTGGAGTCCAAGTACGATCTAATACTAACAGCAGGCAGCATCAGGGTCACTTTCAAGTACTTACAGGCCTCACTTGATGGACACTAATTGAGGCTGGTGGGACTGTGGTGACCCTGGCCACATAATACATTGGTCAAATATGAACACAGAAAATCCCCAGGCACTCAGCACATTCTTTGGTTTGTGCCATTGCCAGACGTGGTTGAAAAACTTTTCAAGTTACAAATTATTTTTGTACGTTTTTAAACCATTTGAATAACTGTGCCCCTGCAGTGCCCTCTGCACTTCAATATGTGTCAGTGCACCTTATTCTCCCAGCTCGGGTATCCTTACCTTGCCCAAAGCCACCTGATTTCCAAAGAAGAGAATAAAGGGATCATCAACTTCACTTTGATGCCAAGTAAGGTCCTGTCTAGGGAAGAGGCTGCTTTGTGCAGTTGTAACTACACCAGTGTAGCTGCACTAGTACAAACCTCAGAGATGAAATCCTGGTTCCACTGAAGTCAATGGGAGTTTTGCATTCCTGTTGATGTCACAGGGATGAAGATTTCTCCCCACGTGGAAGCCCCAAGGGAAACTCCACAAATACAAATCACTTTTCTTTTTCCTCTGGTGCCACATGATTACACTAGAGCTGTGTCTAGACTGAAGTGTTTGGTCCTGTACTTTTGTTCCTATAATTTCTAATCAACAATTAATTAGCGTGATGGTACATGCTGATGTAGACACTCCATAAACACTTGTTCCTAGAGTTCAGTGTAGGGTGACCCAAGACCAGCAGGAACAAATGTTTGTACAGTGTCTACACTAACATGTATAGTTGTGTAACTTGAATTGAGTTAATTGGCAATCAGTTAACTTAAGTTACAATGTGGCCATAACCTTAGTACAAACAAGCCCTAGAGGTTTTTCATGGGGCTGCTATACAGACCTAGCAAAACTTCTACAAAACAGCCCCAAAACGATTGTGTAGATAGGGCCTAAGCAGCAATGGAATGCAGTGATTTGAAATTGAGGATCAGGCCTTCATGCAGCATCACCAGCACCACTGCTTTCTAAAGACTGTGACTATATGTGGAACAGGTCATACTGGAGACTTTGAAATCTAAGCTGGAACTAAATATGTGCCTTCAATCACAGTACTAGCTCTGTGCTTTGGGAATTACTTAGCTGGGAGCTATGGGGTCAGAGCTGTATCTGCATTTATATTAATGTAACTTAACATTTATAGAAAGAAAAATCCACCCACAAGCTCAGCCTGTGCCCTTCTAACTGGGAGACACCAAGCCACATCCATCTTCCCTCTTTCTCTTGAAAGATTAATCCAATCCAGAAATATTTCTTTTCTGTTCTGGTTGCTATAAATTCCTGTGGATTAAACAGAAATACATTACACACTGATGGGGCATTTCAGCTCTGCCTCATTCTTCATGCAATCACATACCTATTTTGACCTGAGACCGAAATACATGTGAAAGACAAGGACTCAGCCAGACCTGTAACTGGTTTGGTTGGAACAGCCTTAGGGCACATGGCAATCCTTATAGCTGCTTTTTCCAAAAGTCTTGCATTTGGGAGAACATAAGAGTTGCTTAAAACAGCCAGACCCCGAGTGAACTGCCAGACATGAAAATCAGGCATTTTTTACCTTGCAGAGGGAATCTACCCTCTACATTTCCAAAGGGAGACTGGGCAGGTCCTCAACAGCATGAAACTCACACTCAACAGCAAAGCAAAGCCTTTCCTGCATTAGCAGACTGTGAAAAAGCCGTGATCGCGCCCCTAACCTCCTCCCAGATCACAACTTATTCTGCTTTCTACATTTGCACCTGAAGCACCTCCCCATCTGCCTCACGCAGACCCAGGGAAGCTCACTGAATTGGTAGAGCAGCTTTTCAGTAATCGATCAGAGGACTGATGGCAGCCAGAGGGAAGAAAGGCCAGGCCCTGCTCCCTCTTGGCGTCTTCCCAAGTAGGGCTCTTGTTTGTGGGGAAATAAAGGCCCATTCACAGACAGTTTCCCAGGGAGAGCCTGCTTGGTCAGAGGTTCTGATAAAACCTAGGGTATATTTGTATTTTTCAGTCAAGTGTCTGAATGACATGGGGGGTTTGCTGATTGCTGGGTACTGTGTGGGATGTTCCCAGACTTACCATCTCAGCCTCATCTTCAACAACAAGCAGCTGGGATTTCCTGCCTGAACAATTTCGCATACTGGCATCCCAGGTCCCCGATTGCTCTGAGAAGTAGTAACATCTCCCCCTGTGCAGCATCCACCCTGGGGGGCAGAGCAGACACTCGCTTCTTCCTGGGGGTAGGGGGGTAAAGAAGATCATTACCCAGCATCACAAATGGTTTAATTACTCCCATCCCATATTGCGGGGAAGCAAATAGCTTCCCAGTTCATATCAGTACATTTTGGAAAATTAAATATTCTTGGTGCAATGTCACAGCTGTCAGTTGTCTTGCATTTTACAGTGTGTCTTACATTCCACTAATTATCATTGAATGGGTTCAATGCTCATTTAGGGAACCATTGCTTAGAGCAAAGTGATGTTGTGCATGCTCCCCCGTCTAACTGTGAAACTGGTGCTTTTGTTTCCTGTGTGCCTCAAGTTTGCCTTTCTAGGAGCCTGAAGGCAGTAGCTGCCATTTTGTTCTCAGTTGTTGAGATGCAGCCTGTGACTGTTCTTGCTTGTTCAGTTGTTTTCCCTTAACCTGAAATACTGATATATAGATACTCGGTCATAAGCCGGTTCATTTATAAGCCGACTCCCCCAAGATGGATAAGTAAAAATGGAAATTTTTTATGACCCATTCATAAGCTGGCCCTATAATTCAGGGGTTGGCAAACTTTGGCTCCTGGGCCATCAGGATAAGCCGCTGGCAGGCCGAGATGGTTTGTTTACCTCGAGCATCCACAGGCACAGAGGTAAACCTAAGTAAACAAAGTGTCCCGGCCCGCCAGCTGCTTACCTTGATGGGCCAGGACAGCAATTGGTGGGGAAATTTTGGGGGGGGAGAAGCTGGGGGTCAGGGGAGTAACCCCTGTGACCACCCCCACGTGACCCCACGTGACCCCACCCCTAGCCTGGGACCCCTACACTCTCCCCATCCCATCCCTTCTCACCTTAGCTTGGGCGGGCCAGGGTAGGATGTCTCTGGCCTGGCCAGAACTGCTCCGGCAGTCTGGGCGGTGCGGCCACAGCATGCTGCAACGGCCCGGGCCGGGAGTCATGCTCCGGCGGGTGGGCTAAGCAGCGTGGCGGCAGTGTGCTCCAGCAAGCAGGGCTGGGTGGTGCGGCCGCAGCATACCGGCCCTGGAGCTGCAGCTACTTCTGAGACTGGGGGGAGAGCAGCGTGGCCAGAAGTGGAGAGACTCTGGCCCCACCTCTTCCCTTCTGGCTCTGCTGACTGTGCTGCCTCTCCTTGCTCCCTGTGTTGGGGGGAGGGGCTGTGTCCCACCTCTCCCCCTCTCTATACCCATTCATACGCTGACCCCTTCTCCGATGCTTCCCTTTTTTACTAAGAAAATGTAACTTATGAACAAGTATATATGGTAAATCAGTGACACTAATATTGTTTGTTGTGTGTGTGTGTGTGTGTGTGTGTGTGTGTAAGACAGGATTCTTTTTTCTTTGTATCTTAGTAGCTCCTAATGGCTTGAGAAAGGGCCCCTCTGAGTTGTAACATGGTCCCTGCCATGAAAATCCTACAATCTAATGTGATGAATAGAGGATAGGGAACAACAACAAGCTCAGAGCAAGTGACATAGCAGAGAAGAAGTCTCCTCATTGAAAAAAGAAGAATAGAAAAGGTAAAGTTGCCACTTATGCAAATGCGATCAGTTTCCAGTTAAATAAAGGAGAGGGAGAATTTGGATAATCTATTCTGAGAGTAGAACAGGCTTCTTATGCCACTACTACTGAAGAGTGATACAAGAAAAACAATAGTTTTCCTACCTCTGGTGGGGAAATGACACTAAAAACATGTTTTCCACAGAAACTGGGTGCGTAGTAATGAATCTGGTGAAGACCAGGGTGAGGCTGTTGTGTTGTGTTAGGCTGCTGGGTTCAGAGCGCTGAACCAGGGCTGCACAGTGCGCACACACTCAGGAGCTGCATGTGTGTTTGCTGGCTGTTGGTGTCTGGCCTGTGAGCCACAGCAGCAGAGCATTAAAGGCACCCAGGGTGACATGGCAAGAAGTGACACAACCTCTCACTGGTCTGAATAATTGCAACCCAAATGTCACACCCTCCCTGGGTATTGAAAGACACAGAAAATGTACTTCCTTCTAACACAGCCCTTGTCTAGGCAAAGGGGGAACCTAGACTTTAACTTGACCAGTTCAACACGTGTTAAGGGAACCCGGCCTTGTCTAGCCTAGACCTCCAGAGTGTGTTGGTTACAAGTGTTAGCTTGAACATGGTACCAGCATACTTTAGATCCTAGTCTACAGAGGGCCACAGTGAACTTTATTAGAATAAGGGAAACAGTATTATCCCTAAAACTACACTCATTCTCTTTCTCCTTCACCATAGGAGCTTCTGTTTAGAACCTTCTCTAGCTCCCTCCTGCTTGGCTTCCTACTACAGATTTAAGCAAAATATTTGCATTATAAAAATATTTAATAACAAGTAATTATCACCAAATTATAGATCTAGGGCAATAAGGCTACATGTCATTTGGTAAAGGGCCCAGGCTGCCAAAGTCCTTCCCTCTCCTTGTAAAAAATCCTTGGCCTCTGGGGGTTCTTGAAAACACCAGGAAGCTGTAAGGCAGTGGTTTTCATTTGAGGACCCTTTGGAAATTTCTAATGGAGGTGCGGATCCCTTTGGAAAACTGGTGTATGTGTATATATAATATAGCTGAATTCTGTTCAGTCAGTTTTCAATCTGTCTTTCGCAGACTCCTTAAACATAGTCTGCAGACCCCCAGGTATCCATGGACCACAGGTTGAGAATCACTGCTCTAAGGTATCTAATGTCATTTTTAAAAGCAGCCCTGCACATTCCAGTTCTACTCCAAGCACAGGGTATGTATCAATAATTATAATTACTAACTAGGAATTGTAAATATTGGTTCAAATATATCTTCAGGGCCAGATTTTGATACTCTTATTCAACCTGAGTAGTACCTTCCTCTGTGAGCCGTTCCATTGATTTCAACAAGGACTGCTCATACAGTAAAGAAGCCAGATTCTGGCCTGTAACATTTTCAGGTTGTTATAGAAGAGGGAAGTTAACAAACAGCAGAAGGGAAGACACTGCACAGTTAGAGAGGGGCTGTAACTCCTCACCCTCTCTATCTTCACACAGATTGTCCATTAATCCATTGATTGTCATCGAGCATGTCCCTGTGCATGGAGATTCCCCTGAAGATGTAGTGTTTTCATTGCAGGTTGTCCTGAGCATGGACGGACTCTTACAATTTCCCTTCCAGACTTGAATGCAAAGGAAGACAACATGGTTAATAGGAGCATCAATAATATGCAGTCTTGGTATCTGAGAGTCAGAAAACACAGTTCTATTACAGAGAACATAGTCAGTGAGGACATCAGCTTGCAAAGGGACTAAAAATAGGTTTGTGCCTTTTTTGTTGGGTTATAATATATCAAGAAGGCCTGGTATTTTTTTCTCTTTGTTGTTTTTTGTTTAAATTTGATTTGTTTTCCCTGCTTGTTTCCTCCATAAGAAATTCAGGTCTAGCCTACTTTGGTGGAGAATAGGTACGGTTATGACACTACAAGTAGTACAGCTATAAATCTGATTAATTGAAAAGAGAGATCAGTTTCATTCAGACTGTCTAGAATTCTGTTTTTTTTCCTTTTGTTAGCCTAAGCAACTGAGAGCAAGTCTCTTTCCTTTTGTTAGAGATTCAACATCCCAAGCCTTAAATTAAAGGATGAGATAGCTACCTTCCTACATAGCGGAGTCAGCTCAGAAATCCTCCAGCAAAACCAAGGAATTTAACTTAATATTCCTGATATTTCTAAGGCAACAAGCAGTAAAAATAACACATTCAGGACTCTTTATACCTCATTCAGCGAGAAAAAGCAGCATACTACCACTCTTTTTCCTTTTGCCTGTCAATTGTTAACACCTGGTTAGTGGGGATGTAGATGTAAGCTGAAAGTAGCACTTGCTCCTGGGCCAAAAAGTACACTAATTATGCTATCAGAGTATTCACAATAGTGAAGGCTAGTGTTATCTATGAACAGGGAATTTGGGGTATTGTGGGGAGTGAGGTTAAAAAAAACAAAGTGGAAACAGACAGACCTTCTAAGCTTCATGTTCACAGGGGCTTAGCCTTTAATCACATGCTAAAGAAAGTGATGGGTACTTCCCCATGTGGGATCATGAACTGTGGGTGGCAGAGAGTCTGGCTTGGTTCTCTCCCCCTCCTCCCTCCCTGTCATTCCTTTGGGTGCAGTGGGAATCAGACACTGAGGTAATGTGCTGGGTCAGTGTAGGTGGGGGGTTGTGGGGGGAAGCCCAGCAATAGCCAGTCTGTCAGCTCCCAGATGTTCCCAATTGCAGTGAGCAGCAGCTGCTCCTGTTTCGTGGCTGGGGACCCACCTCCTTAGAATGTTTAGGCAAGTTTGCCCAAATCCCTGAAGATAGAATTTGAGAGGTGGGAATTGGTGATTTTTAACACTTTACAACCCAACTAAATCTGAAAGGAATCTCATTGGAGAAGAAAACACTCTTCTGCTGCCTGAGGCGAATCTCCATTTTAATATCAAAGGCCAGCTACAAACAATAGAGGAGTGAGAGCTTCCCAAAGAAAAGTGCCTAAGGCCTTGGCTACACTTGCAGCTGTACAGCGCTGTGAGGTAAACCTGTCTTCGTACAGCTGAGTAGGGAAAGTGCTGCAGTCTGTCCACACGGACAGCTGCCAGTGCAGTGGTGTGGCCACACTTGCAACATTTGCAGCTGTGTTGGGAGCGGTGCATTATAGGCAGCTATCCCCGCATTCATGTGGCTGCAAAGTGCTTTTCAAAACGGGGGGTGGGGGTGGATTGTGACAGGGAGTGTGGGGGGAGAGAGTGCTTTTTGGAGTGTGTCAGCTCTCTATTTTTGCAAATTTCAAACTCCCGGCCCCCTGCTCATTCATTTACTCACTCAAAGCAAGCTGCAAACTGTTTGCTTTTCTCTGTGGTACGAGCTTTGAAACGGTCACAACAATGGAGAGGATTGGCCGCTTGACAAGGTGATTAGTACAGCGCTGCAAGCATTTACACTCACACTCGTGAGTCGTACCCACTCCGCTGCAGCTGTTATTCCTCTCGGAGATGTGGAGTACCTGCAGCGGTGTACCCTGGGAGATACAGCGCTGTAAGTGCCCTGCCAGTGTGGACGGGGAGTGAGTTACAGCGCTGGGGGAGGCTTTACAGCGCTGTAACTTGCAAGTGTAGCCAAGGCCTAAGAACCTTTTATAATGGAAGGAGTTTGGCAACCTAAATATAAGGGTTGCTACCACCTCTCCAAAGTCCAAAAGTTCAGCTACTTCGATTCTACAGTGACCACCAACCTATCACCAAATGAAGAACTAAATGTTTGCATTGGAACGGCAGCCACCATCTTTAGCAGACTAACTAAAAGAACATGGAACAACTCAAAGCTTATCAAGACCAAAATGCTGGTGCACCAAGCTTGCATCCTCAGCACTCTCGTGTATGGTGGGGAAACATGGACAACTTATGCTCATCAGGAGACAAGATTAAACAGTTTCCACCTACGCTGTTATGCCACATACTCCAAACAACACCAAATGGCAAGATAAAGTCACCAACTCGGTAAATTTGCCCTTTAAAGAACCTCTGAGTGTAACAGCCCTGCTCAAGCAAAGATGACTGTGCTGGCTGGGCCATCTGAGTAGGTTGGAAGACGGACGCATACCCAAGGACATGCTATATGGGCAGTTATCAAAGGGAACAAGAACAACAGGACGTCCCAAGTTTCTTTATAAAGACACATGCAAGCGAGGTATGAAGGAATTAATCCTGACCGATGGGAAATCATCACAAGTGATTGTAACAAGTGGCACCATCGTCTCCATCAGGGCATCAAAGTCCATGACAGGAGCTGGCTCCTACAGCTTGAAGAGAAAAGAGCCCATAGGAAGCAAGCCGCTCCCAACCAAGATACATACATTTGCAATAATTGCCAAAGATCATCTAAATCTCAGATAGAACTATTCAGTCACATGAGACATTGCAAACCATCTACATCATAGGCTGCAGTTTCCACCGTCTCTTACAGACGAAAGGATGCCAACCAACCAGCTCTCCCTATAATAAGTGTGTTACTCAGTTAATGTCACCCACCTTGCAGAGTTAAGGCAATTGCAGCTCCCTGCAGCAGTACTTTAGTCCCCAGCATTAGAGCAATAATGAACCAGCCTGTACGCTGGGAGCAGAGACCTGTAAGTAAGAAAAGAAATATGTAGCTGTCGGAAGGAAGATGCTGTTGAAGCTTTTCTCCTATTCCGTTTTATTCCCCGAGAAGAAGCCTTTCCCACTGCTGAACAAATAGCAATTTGCTGTTCACCCAAAGTAGGTGGAAAATGTCATCGGCTGGGGGCGGGGGTGGTTAATCAGCAGGGTGAAGGGTCCCTGGTTGAAGATTCCAACCTGCTCTGCTGAAAAGTAATTTCTGGCCCTTGCTGCCCTGTCCATGTTGCCGTCTGTCCATTGAGGAATATGGCAAAGTGAGGCCTCTATTCTGGGTGCTTAATACTGACTCTGCAGTGTGATATATAAGGGTTGGAGTGTGCTGGTAGAAGAGGTGATTTTTAAAGGAGATAAATTGAGCTCCTTTCTGCCCATCTCTAGTGAGTGCCAAATGCTGATAGCACAGTGCAGTGCTGTGGTGTAGGAGATGATACTGAACTATGGTTTGGGCCACCCTAAAAAGCAGAAACTGAACTGTGGTCCTACTTTGAAAAGGGACTGTGTAAAAATGGACCTTCTAACTCCACAGATCCCTCCTCGGTGCATATTCAGATTTAGAGCTGCTGACTCTAGCAACTAGATTTACTGCTTCTTTCTTCTGTGCAACCTGCAGAGCCAGCACAGCTCAGAGAGGAGCTGGAGTCTCTTCCTTCCTGCACATCATTAACAGAACTGTTTACCAAGTTCCAGTCAGTCATACTTGTGCAAAACTACTGAAGAAAATATGTACATATTTCTGGGATGCCCCTCCAAGAAATGAAACAGTGGTTGTAGGAGTCTTGTGTGACAGATATGACAGACACAGGAATACCTTGACACTATTGCATTCAATTTTATGAAAGCTATCTGTACATGCTATATATACCGTTGTGGGCTAGGGATTGTGTTCTACTCCATGAGGGAGGGTTCCCACATCTCCAGAAACTAAAAGCAGTGGTAGGTAATTACTTCTGGGACAGACTAACAGCTCCAGAGAAATACCACCCTGGGGAGAATTGCATAAACTGGTTCAGACTGGGTCCCAGTGACCATGGGAGACAAAGAAAGGGCTTTTGCTATGCAAGGCTGAGTTTAAACTGATTGAGCTGGCATCACTTTTGTTCCATCAAACTGACACAAACTTTTAACCAAGAGGGAGACGCTGCTGAAAGGTTCAAAGGACTTTGACATACCAGATCCTCCGTGTGGAAGAGGGGTAACAGCTGGTACACGTAGTATGTGTTTAATCACTTAATTGTTCTATGATATGTTTTCTCTGTAATGCTTTCCCCCTAACATCCCAGATACCTGGGATTCAGTGTCATAGCTCTTTGAGAGAAAGCAAAGCACAGGTGCTGGACTTCAGTCAGGCCTGCTGGAATAATCAACCCAAAGTGCAGGGTCCTGTGGCCTAAAACCCTGTTCTGGAGGGAGAGGGAGGTGGGTCTCTGCCCAGACAGCATTGACGGCTAGAGGCCTGAGACATGAGAGGGCATCCTTGAGCAGACCACAGAGGAGTCAGATTTGCAGTTATCAAGAAACTGACATCTTGGTCATTAGAAATATCCAGATTTCGGTATGTGCTACCAATAAATATACCGTGGGACCAATGATGCCAGGAGGTGTAGAAGAGAAATCTTAGAAGCTATATTCAGATTAATAGGGAGAAGGCTTTGGTCCAGGACATCTATGATATAACTTTGTGGTTACAGCTCCACATGCCAGGCAAGTGTGACAAGGGGAATTTCAATGTCTCCATGCATGGAGGAGAAATTGATTTAAATGTCTCCTCTTCACATTTATTAGGCTCTGAGGAACTAAAATGGAGATGGGCCAGGTTGAGATGACAGAAATCCCTTACAGAGAAGTAACAAGATGTCAGACTAAGATTTCAATGAGAACTAGGCACCTAAATATTTTCGAGGATCTAGGCCCAAGGGACTACAACAGCAGACCTATAAAATACACCTCTACCCTGACATAACAGTCCTTGGGAGCCAAAA